CACTGCTCTCTTCAAAGCTGTCAGGGACATTTACAGCTGCAGAGGTTTCTGCTGCTTTTTATTTAGCTATGCCCTATCCCCTGAGGTGGAGTCTACAGAGGCAGGCAGGCCTCCTTGAGCTGTGGTGGGCTCCACCCAATTCGAACTTCCTGGCAGCTTTGTTTACCTACTTAAGCCTCAGCAATGGCGGGCACCCCTCCCCCAGCCTTGCTGCTGCCTTGCAGCTAGATCTCTGACTGCTGTGCTAGCAATGAGGAAGGTTCCGTGGGTGTGGGACCCTCCAGACCAAGTGTGGGATATAATCTCCTGGTGTGTCGTTTGCTAAGACCCTTGGTAAAGCACAGTATTAGGATGGAAGTTACCCAATTTTCCAGGTGTTTTGTGTCTCAGTTTCCCTTGGCTAGGGAAAGGAATTCCCTTCCCCCTTGCACTTCCCAGATGAGGCGATGCCTCGTCCTGCTTCAGCTCTTGCTGGTCGGGCTGCACCCGACTCTCCAACACGTCCCAGTGAGATGAACCCGGTACCTCAGTTGAAAATGCAGAAATCACCCGTCTTCTGTGTCACTCACACTGGGAGCTGAAGGCTGGAGCTGTTCCTATTCAGTCATCTTGGGTACCCCCCTCGGTTCAGCATCTTAAGAGACCTACCTTTGATAGACAAGACAGATGGGGTGAGGAGCAGCAGGAGTGATGTCAAGGCAATGTGAAATCACCAGATTAAGGGGATACAGAGTGCTCTGGGCACACCTGAAAAACTGTCATTTACAAGCTGCTGGGGACATAAGTCACTCAAAGCCTCTTTCATGGGATCATTAAATGCCCAACAATAGAGAATTCACTAAACACACTCTGGTACAGCTGGCTAAGGAAATACAATGTATTCACTCAAAATAGTGATGTGCACAGCTATTTGTTAACAATGAAGACAGGATGCATTCTGAAAGGAGAAATTAACAGGTTATAAACTGTTGTGTGGTGTAGACAGTTCCTCAAAAAGTTCAACATAGAGTTTCCATATGACCCAACAATTCCCCACCTAGGTGTCTATCCAAGAGAACTGAAAACACGTCCATACAAAAACTGGTACACAAAGAGCAGTGTCATTCATCTTAGTCAAAAAGTGGGCACAACCCACATGTCCATGACTTGATGAATGTATAAATAAAATGTGGTCTATGCATGCAGAGGCATACCATTCAGTCATAAGAAGAACATGCTACAATGTGGATGAAGCTGGAAAACATCATGGTAAAGAAAGAAGGCATCCACAAAAGGCCACAAATCGTATGATGCTTTTTTTTTTTTTTTTTTTTTGAGACGGAGTCTCGCTGTGCTCCCAGGCTGGAGTGCAGTGGCGTGATCTCGGCTCACTGCAAGCTCCGCCTCCCGGGTTCACACCATTCTCCCGCCTCAGCCTCCCAAGTAGCTGAGACTACAGGCGCCCGCCACCACGCCTGGCTAGTTTTTTGTATTTTTAGTAGAGACGGGGTTTCACCATGTTAGCCAGGATAGTCTCGATCTCCTGACCTCGTGATCCACCCGCCTCGGCCTCCCAAAGTGCTGGGATTACAGGCTTGAGCCACCGCGCCCGGCCATGATGCTTTTTATATGTAATTTCTAGAATAGTTAAATCCATGGAGACAGAAAGTGGTTGACAGGGCCGGGGGAAGGGGATAGAGAGGGGAATGAGGAGTAACTGCTAATGGGTATGAGTTTTATCTTCGTGGTGGTAAAAATGTTCTGGGTTTAAATAATGATGATGTTAGCACAACTTTGGGAATATGCTAAAAACCATTAGCTTGTACACTTCAAAAGGGTGAACTTAATGGTATATGACTTATATTTCAATAAAATAATGAAATATTTTTTGAAAATCTAGATAGGTATAATATGGTCCTGTTTTAGTAGTAACATACATCTTTATTTGCATAGGAAGATACTGGAAGGCTATATGTCTAATTAGAATTACAACAGCCATTTCCTGGCTGTAATCTTGTCAGTGTTTTTACTTATTTGCATTTTCTACTTTTATTTCTTCATACATTCATTGACAAATATTTACCGAGAGCTTACTGTGTGGCAAACACTATGCCGAGAGTTTTGTATGCAGGATCTCAGTTCTCAAAATAACCCTGTGAGATTAATGCTGTCTCAGGATCTTAAATTGATTTCTGTTGTTTAAGCCACCCAGTCTGTGATATTTTGTTCTGGCAGCCTAAGTAGACTAATATATAGGCTCAACTCAGTTCCATTATTTATTCCCAAAAGAAACTAAGGCCCAGAGATGGGGAGGGATTGCCTAAGGTCACACAGCGACTCAATGGCAAAATCAAAACCAGAACTTGAGGCTTCTGCCTTCCAGCACAGTGTGGCTGGCAGCCATTTCTCTTGCTTTTATACATCAGGGAGATATTCTCATTGGTAGCCTTATCTAAGGCAAATTGCCTTGTCAGTTTATTGAACCAGGCTGAGCATGGTAGAGCTGAAGGGATAGAAATAGCCAGGGGAGACTGGGCACCGTGGCAACCCTTCCTGTTCTGTAATCCTAGCACTTTGGGAGGCCAAGGGGAGGACTGCTTCAGAGAGGAGTTCAAGACCAATGTGGGACACATAGTAAGACCCTATCTCCACAAGAATAAGGAGGGGGAGGAAGAAGAAAAAGAAAGAAGAAGAAAAAGAGGAAGAAGGAGAAGGAGAAGAGAAGGAAGAAGAAAGAAGAAGAAGAAGAAGAAGAAGAAGAAGAAGAAGAAGAAGAAGAAGAAGAAGAAGAAGAAGAAGAAGAAGGA